GAGAGAGAGAGAGAGAGAGAGAGAGAGAGAGAGAGAGAGAGAGAGAGAGAGAGAGAGAGAGAGAGAGAGAGGTGGGTGGGAGAGGATCAACTGGGGAGCACGATGATGTGGAGGAGGAGGCATAGGACGTTGATGGCAAAGATCCGAAACGCCATGTAGCGTGGGCGGGCGTGGAGGGAGATCAAGCCGGCGAGGAGTAAGGAGGAGGAGGGCGAAGACCATGACGAGGAGAAGGAAGAAGAGTGGAGAGAGAGAGAGAGAGAGAGAGAGAGAGAGAGAGAGAGAGAGAGAGAGAGGTGGGTGGGAGAGGATCAACAGGCGAGCACGACGATGCGGAGGAGGAGGCATAGGACGTTGATGGCAAAGATCAAAAAAGCCACGTAGCGTGGGCGGGCGGGGAGGGAGAGCAAGCCGACGAGGAGTAAGGAGGAGGACGAAGACGATGACTAGGAGGAGAGAGAGAGAGAGAGAGAGAGAGAGAGAGAGAGAGAGAGAGAGAGAGAGAGAGAGAGAGAGAGAGAGAGAGAGAGAGAGAGACCTTATTGCGATGCTCAATGCTGGGCTCCTCGCTCTACCTTGCTGTGCCCGCTTCTAGCCCTGCTGTGCCTGCTCCACGTCTGCACCTTGCCTAATGTGGCCACCATGCTGCCCTGCTTCGTCCTCCTGCACGATGACGGCACTGGCAAGCATTCTAACGTCGACGTGGGAGGGGGGGCGAACAAACTCACAAGGCAGGACTTCAAATCCGAGTCCTGTTTGCACTACCGGGCCACCATTTTGCCAGAACGACATCCAAACGGGCAGGACAAAAAAAAGTTCCGGCCCTACCGGATACACCTCCAGAGCCTCCAAAAACTGGGCTCGTATTTTTGCTTGGCGGGCCAGGGCGTGACGGAACGCCCTGGGCCGCCAAAAAAAATTTTGGCCATTGCCCCACGGGCAGGAATCCGGACCGGGTTCCGGACAAGTGGACCGGACACTGGACACCGGACGGGCCGGATCCCTCTCCGGTAATCCGGATCGCTGCCATGCTGTATACATTGTAGAGAGCAAACCCTTAACTTTGAGGAATATCCACTTTCTACTGTAGGAACTCCCTTGATATCACCATCTTTACGAACTGGTCAATTTTAATCTTCTGTGTGTTTCGAGCCCATGTGCGCAGAAACCAGGACCGACCTTTTCCCTGTCTGCCTGAGCATACTTTCCAGTCCGCCACCATCATCCAACGAATTTCGCTGCGGATTTGGTTCTGTTGCTGCTGAAGTGTCACCGTTTCCCCCCTAAAAACCTTGGCATGCCAGATGGTCTGAAGGATCACCCCTCTGCATACCAAAGCCACATACCCCCAATCCTCTTTGTTTTTCTTACTCTCGGATGGCATAGTGGCAAACAGCAGCCAATCGTCTGACCATGGGAAAACCCCTCCACACCAGGTGTCCCATATTTGCTCCCACCATACCCAAATTTCATCTGCCAGGGGGCAGTGCATCCATACGTGAGCATTGGACTCCCAGCCCCAATCGCATCTTAGACTAATGCATGTCGTCGATATATCCATGCCCTTCTTTGCTAACCACTGTGCAGTCAGGACCACTTGCATGGATTGAAGCCACATTAAACTGGCTTGTTTTTGACAGGGGATATGGCTTAAAGCCTTCCACAGCCCCTGCCAATAGGCTGATTGCAGTAGGAGCCCTTGAGTCTGCTCATTCTGTCCGCTGCCATTTGCTTGGGGGAGAGGTCTGATTTGGACTGAATATACCTCACCCTTGTTTTCGCTTTGTAACAGCACAGTGGGGTAGCATCAACCCTCTGCTCGCCTAGGGTTTCCCACCTCCATTTCTACACAAGAGGGTCAACCACAAAGTCTTCCCCTCTTCCTAATAAGCTGCAGGTTCTGTTCCTTTGACTGACTCTCACTTCCTGCAGGCCCACAGTTGTGTATACTGTTTTGTCCTGAATCAACTTTAACTGTCCCTGATTCAAACCTGTCCTTTGAAGTTGCCATTCCTCAGTCTTCCAACCCTGATCCAGCCGCGGACCCATGATTTTCCAAACACATCCGAGTGTTCGTCCGAGGCAACCCACGTTCCCACAGCGTGTTCCGTGTTTGACTTGAGTTTCACCGCCCATTCGCTAGGAAGAGCATTCAGCATTTTCTCCCTGTTGCCTGCTACATTTCGCAGGCGTGGAATTTTTTATCTCAAAAACTCATACGAAATCCAGTCTTCTGTGTTTTCATCCCACAAGTGTTTTACTCTTGTGATCCCCTTCTCTATCCAAGCCCGCCCAAAGTTTCCAGATCCATCTGTGGCCATGAAAGGGTTACCATCTCCATCACAAATC